ACTGTAAATGCATTCTCTCGTCATCTCGTTTTGACACCGAAAAACGCGTCAGTCTTATATATGCTCGGGAGATGCAATAAAAATAAATCTTCTCTCGCCGTTCCCTCGCGTAATGCTTTTGTTCCCGATTCGGACGAAGCTTCGTCGTGAGTTTAACTCTGTGTTGTCGCGCGTAACAACTAAAACGACGCGCTTGTAAAAGTGCGAATTAACAAGCGTTCTCGCGAATACAGATCATAGGCTTTGTACTTCGATAATTATCTCGTGATTAAGATTGTCTTTTAATATATGTCACGAAAAATTATGAGAGCTGAAAGTAAACGAGAGTAAAACGATATTTTGCGCGACGATACCTTAGAGTATTGCGAGATTACGCGAACAGAATTTTGTTTACAACCCGAAGATATGTTACGACACAACCGTCGAGAGATATTACTCGTACAATAATGCGTGATATTAAAAAATTTGCCAAAATATCTCTTTTCTTTTATCTTAAACGGGATAACGTTAATATTAACGTATGTCAATTACAGGAGTTGAGGAACGTGAAGAGGTCGAAAGCGCGGTAAAAATAAAAGATCGCCAGTTCCCCGTTTTTCTCCTTCATGATTGCAGATCTAATGCACCAGATACTATCGTAATACTAGGTTCACAATAAAATCATGTAAAAATTGTCAGACGATTCAAGGTGCGCCTAAAGGAAACCTTACAAAACCATAAAGTCGGTGTGATGAATTTTTTCATAAAAACGCCGTCTCCCTATACGGAATTACGGGTTCGTCACTAGACACACGTACGTCGATGAGAAATGCTGTGAAAAAATCGAATCTATGCTATCGTATTACACGTGACGTAACAAAAACTCGTGTTTTCTTTTATTTTCTTTTTCAAATTCGTTCAGAAGGATTCACATCGGTTGCACGTCATTCTCTCTTTTTTTCTTCCTCTTTCTCTCTCTCTCTCTCTCTCTCTCTTTCTCTCAAGTATAATTACGTACGTATTTGCGTTTAAAAAAACTCGTCGATAACTACAACGATTTAGGATACGACATCAAAATCGAAAGGTCTTTATTATCGAACACTATGCAAACGTGACCCACGTACGCTCGTCTTCTCGACGCGGTGCTCGCGATGATGACGTCTCTCTGGGCAAATTTAATGGGTGCTTCGCACTCATACGCATAATGAAATATAATGAGACATTCGACGGAATACGCGCGTGGCAAAAATATATTAGCGGACTCGCAGCGGTGTAAAAAATTCACAGCATGTAACTTTGGAAAATGACTAGCAGAACGTTACGGAGTGATTAACCACTCGTTAATTCGCGATCGCGACCAAAACAAGAACGGAATCTCCTTTCGCGGTTTTCATTTACTGCGGACTTATCGAGATGCTCTCGTCGAAATGCATTTAAATTTTGTTATTTCGTAAATCTTAAATATGGTAGTCAAGCGTTTAGTGTCTTGTCGCAGTCTTGTGCGAATTCGCTAAGAAGAAACGACGCGGCTGATCGGTTTCTTTTTTTTTCCGGAAAACAAAGAAACAAATATCTCCGCCGCGCGGAAAATATTGAAGTTTGTATAAATTTTTCCGCAACGTTACCGCGTCTTATTTCATACAAAATTCACCCGACGTAAATGTATTTTATATATATCTTGTGATATTTTGCAAATTATACGGGATTACAAAGAGAATGACGATATGCAGTTTGCATATACGTATGCACTCTCTAACTAAAGGAGAACTAATTTTATGTCTCACCGCGTCACTTTCGCCCCGCGGCGAGCAATACTGCGTCGTGTCTACACCTACGTCATTACACGTTTTCGCGAAATAAAGTAATTAAAGAATCTATCTCGTCCGGTGCGATTCAACGCGTTCTTGCACGTTACTTTGAGAACCGCAACGGGAGGTTCTTGCTGCGACTTATCGATGATGATCAAGAGATTTTTAGAGGCGAATGACATAGGCTAACCGTCAATAGTGATTAATTAATATTACTTATATATATATATATATAAGTATATATATATATATATAT